TCGGTAGAAAAATTTCGTTTTATCTATTAAGTAAGAAGCATCATATCTTTTTCACATTATACCACTTCTGCTTTCGTTAAAACTAGATATCAGTCTTATTGAAAATCATCCAACTAACTCTCTGTGTGTTTCTATAGATCTACTGCTGCCAATGTTGACTTTCGACTTCCAATGTTATGACAAAAATTCGCAGTAACAAAGTTTAAGAAAACATCCCTGTCCATTTGCTTCTTCACAACGTTCTTAACAACAATCCGTGGCCACCGAAAGCCACTAAAATCACTCCTCCTCTTCTTTAAAACAAAAGAAAAAGGAAAAACCATTCCCGGCAATATTTCGTTTCTTCCTCTCTTTTTAAAAACTTCAAACACGCAGATCCTTTTAAAATGCTTTTCGTTTCTAGCCAATACGATTTCCTGTTCCAGAGACAGAGGTATTGTCGTTCGAAACCGGAACCGTCGTCTTTACTGTTTCTTTATTGCTGTCCTTCTCTTTCAACTTGTTCGAAACTTGGCGAATACGTGTTGATCAGTAGAGACGGAGTTGAGTTGGCTATCTAAATTTCGTTTTCTGGAGTTTTGGGTATTCTTACCATTTTACTCGAAAATCTTTTAAGTAAGTAACATGTTACTCTATTTTACTCGAAAGTAAAAATGCTTCGACGAACACATTCATTTTGTACAAGCTGTTTAGTTTCACATCTAGAGTATCCACAAGTTTCGAAAATATATTCATGAGTAGTTCAAAGTTTGTAAAATGCCCCTTTTCGAATATTATGTTGTATTAGAGAATCTGAAGGCATGATATCACCTATATTGTGCGTAATTCATTGGAAATTCATTCTGTTTCTTTTCGAATATTAAAAAATATTAATTTAGTAATAGGAATTATTGTAGAAGATTTTATCTGGAACTATTATATAAGAATAAGCTCATAATAATTGAACACTGATTTAATAATAAGAAATATTCCATATTAAATTAAACGATTAAATTATTTATAACATATTACAATTATAAATGATTGAATTGAATTAAAATTTAATAGCAAGAAATATTCTACATTAAATTAAATTCTTCTAAACAATTTGAAATTAATTTCATGAGTTACCGTAGAAACGGAAATTATCACTGAAACAAAGTGGAATAATTGATAAGAAATTGTTACAAGAATTATCATAGAAATATTCTACATTAAATTAAATTATTCTAAACAATTTGAAATTAATTTCATGAGTTACCGTAGAAATGGAAATTGTCACTGAAACAAAGTGGATTCATTGATAAGAAATTGTTACAGGAATTATCATAGAAATATTCTACATTAAATTAAATTATTCTAAACAATTTGAAATTAATTTCATGAGTCACCGTAGAAACGGAAATTATCTCTGAAACAATGTGGATTTATTGATAAGAAATTGTTACAGGAATTGTCATAGAAATATTCTACATTAAATTAAATTATTCTAAACAATTTGAAATTAATTTCATGAGTCACCGTAGAAACGGGAATTGTCACTGAAACAAAGTGGATTCATTGATAAGAAACTGTTACAGGAATTGTCATAGAAGGTGGTATTCCCACTTTTGAAAGGTTTGAAACCTACTTAGATCTCATCTCTGACAATCGGTGGAATCAGCATTTCCTTTTCTTCCTCGTTGCTATTGTCACGGCGACGTACGCATTTTCGAGAGGAAAAAAAGAAAAAAAAAAAAAGAAAAAAAGAAAAGTGGGTCAGGGAATTTCCGACCGGCATTGAACGTTGGCCGTGCACTCGACTCGACGTGCTCCGGTTTTCCACGTGCCTCGTATCCCCGAAAACCGATTCGGATATCGACTTGTAACGAAATGCATCCTCAAGTGCGACGCTCCACCGAGCGCCGGTATATCCGGCTGGATTTCGGTTTCAAATTTCGTGGTCTCTTCCGCGTTGGATCCCGCGGTTGAAACTAATGTATTATTGAGTGGCTTGATGGTTTACGTGACGCTATTGAATACGCGAAAGCCACCCCATTCGCCGATTCTTCCCGCATACATCTCCAGATCCCAAAGGGGATACTGCGGATTTAAATATCGTTTCCTGTTTTGGGAGTGTCTTGGACCGGCAACTGTCGCGTTATTAATTGTAGAGATTGCTGCTTTCTTTGGCCGTCATGGAATTCTAGGGATCCAGAGGGGATCTTGAGATAGATTTTTAGATCTCGGGAGGATCTGAAAGTCATCTTCTTCGTGAGAATACTTTGGAATGTAAAAACCGTTGCGTTATTAGTTCCGAAAACGATATTTTTATTGATCTTTTTATAGCCTTGTTATTTATTCGTTATGATATTTTTTATTGATCTTTTATAGCCTTGTTTTTATCTCGAGGATATAAAAATCGTTCTGTTTTTGACGATACAACGTCTTGATTGAACGTGAAAACTCTCTTTTGATTATAGAGTATTTTTTTTATCGATTGTCACGATCTTGCACGAGCTCTTTCGAAACTCTGCGTAAGTTGTTTTAATTTAACACAGAGACCCAGAAAATTATGAAACTTTGGGGATATTTGGAGCGTATGTATTATTGGACTTTTCTTTCCAAGGTAATTCACTCTCAACATAATTGAGTGTAATCGACTCCTAAATATCCATTGTAAGAGACATTTACAACTTTCCTTCACGTGTGTAATTGACAAATATGTATATCGTCACTCGATGAAAGAAATAACTCAATTACAAAAGAAAGATACAAAGTTGTTTTCTTATCTCGGGCAATTTGCGAGTCACAAGTACAGAGTAGAGAAATAGAGTGGATTTCCTTGGAAAGGAAAGAAAAAATCGCGTTATATATACTCACGTGCAATTTACATATCCTCAAAGTTTCATAATTTTCTCAATTGAGAATCCTTCCTTGTAAGTGTGCTTCATTTCGGGGTCCGGCACATTTTCAAAGTACAATTAAAGGTCTTATACGTTGCCTCGGAGTATAATATTATACTTTACGAATATTTACACTCTACTTTGGTGGACGTAGGGTACTTTTCTTGAAAGCGAGGTGAACATTTCTGTTATTTTGAGAAGTCTTCAAACATCGCGGTACAATTCTCGGTAAATTAATTCTAACCCATTGACTGTCTAAATATTATTCAACGTAAGAATTAGAAAGAATTTCACGGGTAATTGAATAATAACAAATACGAAAATTGACAGTTGTCTTACAAATAGTTAAGAGCTGAATTAATTAAAGTTTAGATTCTTAATCTCTTAAGAAATCCGTAATATCGTATTTGCTGCCTTGCGATATCACGTAGCTGGATTTTACACGTATAATTTTATATTATGTGTAATAAGAAATAAAAAAAGGTGTTTCTACTTCTGGCGAGTCCTTAAACGGGACTAATTTCAAAATTTTAATTCTGTTACTAATCTCCACCAGAGGGTGTCGAATAAATAATTTCTAAAAGAGAGAATTAAATATTTTACATTTTTTAACGTAACCATTTGTCACTCCACGCGATCAAAATATTACATCACTGTCCAACAACTATAAAAACTATTTTCACCAATGTTTGACAGTACCAATATTTCCATTTCCAAGCAAAGTTCCATTTTTCTTTTTCTCCCCAGCGAGATGTGCTTTCTTTCCTTCGTTGTACGTTGATCGCAGCCGAAGCGAACCGAATGAAAAAATACCACGAGTTGGCCATCGTGGAAATCCAGCCAACTACCACGGAAATCCAAATTCCAGGTGGGGGAAAAAATCGAAAGGGAAAAAAAAAGTTCGATTTGCGGTGCAGCGGTCGGACCAATAAAAAATACATTTTCGGTTCTCGAGGAATAAAACGAAGCCACGCAATTTGTCACCATCCACGCGAGATCAATACGCACGCATTTTTCCCCATCCGTTTCCTCTTCGCGAGATGTCGTATCTATCTCGATTGTCGGTCCAGTTGGTTTTGTCGGGCTAATCTCTTACCGATTAATCTATCGAGTGTCGGTTAGGCAGGGGATTCTCCCGTAATCGCGACCGGCTCGCGATATTTTTGCTCGATTCCCCGAATCGATTTTCATTCGTGCTTCACTTGTTGTTGTACGGTTCCCTGTCAATAACATCTTCCCACGTCTGGTTTTGCAATTCGTCTTTAACACCAGAACTGCCGACGATTAATGCATAAAATTTTTCATCAAATTGAAGTCAAGAGAATAGGAAAACTTTATGATACAGTGGACAAGCTTTTGTTTGTATATTTCACGAAAAATTATTCAAATCTTTAAAAATACGGTGTTTTACGTCTGTGAAATATCTAACAAAAACTTTTAATTGGTCATTTTGATAGTTTTAGTGTTAATACGCGGCGGTGAGTTCAGTTTTTGAAATTTTGTTTAATCGTCATTCAATGAGTGCGAATTTGACCAAATTCGTGTTCATTTATTACACTCATTTAGTGTTGTAAACGATGCAAGCGAGAATTTGAAGGCAAAGGAGCATTCGTTCGTCTAAATTTGGTCTAAATCGCAATTTGTAACGAAACGCGATCGAAAAAGACAAATTTGAGTTTCACCTTGAAGAAAGAACGAGTCGCAGTTATTCACCTTAATTTTCGCGATAGAATAGCAAAGAAATAGGTATAGGAAGTAAAATTTCCAAAACGTGAATGAATATACGAACACGCAAGAGTTATAACAGCGTCAATTGTTTCGTGTTCGAGTCGATTGTAATTTTCTAACTCTCTTTGAAGATTATTTTAGAACAAAGCAAGAAGCATGAATTAAAATAGAATGTTTGAAAATTAATATATATCCATGTGATCCGTGTTGCAATAACAATTCGTAAATATTGCATCTATATCATAAATCTAAAAAATTGTTGGGAAATTTCAAGTCTAATTTTTAGTCCAATCTTATCTAAAAGTTTGTCTGTGACGAGCGTTCAGATACTTTCATGAACCACTGTACGCACGTGGCGTGCTGTTCACTATTATTAGCGTTGGCCGAAGTAAAGTTCAATTTACTCACCTTTGCCATAAGGCGCAAGTAGGAGAAGGTTCGCCAGAGCAGCTCCAGTATCGTGTCCAATCAACGTGATTTTTGTCGGATCACCTCCAAAAGCGGCGATATTTTCACGTACCCAGCGCAGTCCCATAGCGATATCCTTCAAGGCCAGATTCCCACCAGATCCTGGCGTTCTGTCTGGATACGGCCGTGTCCTCAAGAAACCTGGAACACGGCCAACCATACTTGACTCCACCAATCTTCTTTCACGTCTCTTTTTTTTAAAGAGATAGTCGAGCGAGTTCCTTTTTAGAAGAAATATATTCGCCAATTTTCTCTTTTTTCATTCTGTTTTCTTTCATATATAATTATATTTACATCGCGCATAATTATTTATTACTATATATTTTTTTCTCCCCAAAGAAATATGTCGGGCGAGTTGTTTTCTTGGAAGAAATATATCTGTCAATTTGTTTTTCTTTCTATTATTTTGTTTCGTTTCATATAATTATATTTGTATCGTGCATAATTATTTATTATTATAACGTATTTTACATTTTATAATATTTATATTAAAGCCTAACAATTCCACAAAACTGAATCAACCAATTCATCCATTAATTTTGAAAAAATTCCTATATTACAAATTAACCACAGCCTGTGTTGTACGCATCTTATTTCAGCCATGATATATTATATTACTTTCTTTTTGTACTCCTTCATAAATTACATTACGCGAGCAACGTGTTTTACATAAATTTTATTCTTCGATATCGCACACCCATCGGACGAAAGAGGGGGAAACAGACGTCCAATTAAAACACAAACGAAATCTATCCATTTTTTTTTCCCTCCTCTCCGTTTCTTTTGTCAAAAGTTCAATTTCACGATAAAGTTATACCGGACATCCGAGCCGTTGCTCGATTGCAGGAAACCGGAAACTACGGTGGACCCACAGCCGGTTTCTACAGCCACGCGGATACCGCAATTGAATACACCAAAGTAACCGTAAAATATTAATCCTCTATCGGATGGATTTATGCGACTGTTGGACACGCGCAATTATGACATTAAATAATGCGACATTGTTGCTCGGTGTCCCCATCGTGCGCGCGTACTACGTTACGCTCGGACAGGGCTTAACGCCGCAAATGAATAATGAGCAAGCTTTTGGGAAATAAGAATTCATCCGGGTCGAATGAATTATTTATTCGTTGTCCATGCTTTATTTGTGTTTCCTTATTCATCCGGCATTATTCATGAGAACTTATCCGTTTCGTTTTTTCTTTTTTTTTTCTTCTTCTTCTTTTGCTTCCTCCTTCTACGTTTCTCAATTTTCCCAGCGAGTAAAACCAGCGCAGCGTTACGCGAATGTTACGTGCTTTCCTTTCTCCCCACAGATTTCATTCGCGATCGGGGGAAAGCAATTGAAGAATATATATAGATGACTATTGGGAATTTTTATGGTATCCCGTAGTTGCGTATTTATGGAACATTGGAATGTTTTACGAGTACACGTTTGAGATATTAGATTGTGTAATAAATTCATTCGTTACATGTATTTCTTGAACAGTTTGTTGTTATATCATTATACTTTCGTATATGATGTAATTTGTTTCTTCTATTTCTCTGCAAATATATATATATATATATATACCAGAAAAAAAAAGAAATTCATTGCATTTTTGTATTCTCCGGATAACGTTCTTCTTCGGCAAGTATGAAAAATGTTCGTTTTTTGTACAAAAGAGCGATACGTACCTAAGATTCCAAGACGGTAATTAAGTGTGATTACTATAACGTGGCCAGCGCTAGCCAAGACGGACCCATCGTAAATGTTTCCTGTTCCCCATTCGAAACTTTCACCGTGAACGTACACCATCACGGCGTATGGTGCTTCTAATCCTCGTGATCCTAAAGAAATTTACAATTTCGATAACAAACTCGAAGCTCACTGTTGATAATAAATCGTAAAGAACCAAAGTGTATAATAACAAAAGCAAAAATTATTGAAATCGAAATGTAACGATGCAAAATTTATAGAAATAAATCGCTTTAACTTTTTGGTAATCGTAACTTGCAAGTTCCAAAATTAAAAATTTCAATTTCGACGTATTTCGATGTTTATTTTGCTCGCAACAATGCTATCAATTTAATTAACAAATCACGAGCAGATTCGCCAACAAGATACCCAAGTTGAACCTTTGATACGTAACGTAACATTCGATCTACGCCGTCAACTCAAGCGACCATTAAGTCGTTATCGGGACCAATCGATCTTACAATGATTTATTACCGTCGTAACTAGCTATGGTATAAACTAGCTCGCGTTATACACACGTGCACGCATGTGTATGTATATTTCGAAAATGTGAAACAACGCATAGTTAAATGATAAGAGATCGTTCGATAAGTTCACGAGGGAAACTGTTAGCTCGGCGGAAGAACAATGGAGCTGGGTGAATTGGCTGGATTTAAATTCATTAGAAGGAAGGAGAATAGTTTTAAGTCCGGAACATTGTGGTGTCAGTTTGCTCCAAGTGCACGGCTTGTTACCCCCGGTAATGGTGAGTTACGTTGCAATAACTTCTGCATTCCTCCACGCGTACAACCTTTGTTTATTAACTTGGAAATTATAATTCCACTACATTATTATTCCGCACGTATCTTTTAATTCTCGGTACTTCGTATCTATTTTCTACTTTATATTCATAGTATGAATTCTGCTCGTCTGTGAAATGAATTTTTCTAACGAAGAAAGAAAAATTGACTCGAACAACTTCGTTCTTCGTTATTTCATTTATTTATTACTCAAAGATTTCAAAGTCAATTCTTATTGCGTGATAAACAGAAATAAATCAAGTGAACTCCGCTCTTGCAAGCGTGAACGAATCAATATAAGTTCCATAATCGTTACAACCGCAAAACATGTCGTAAAACTACTATGAAACATGCTATAAAATAAATTTGGAGAATGTAAAATGGAACTTGCAGGTAAACCAAACTAAACTGTCGTACATACCTAAAAAAAAAAAAGTTCAAAGATAATCATGAATCTTTAAAAATATAATTCTTGCAAAATATAAATCATAAACTATGCTCTTCTAATTTCTTTTTCTTTTTTTTTAAATTCAATATTTTTTTCATCATCATAGATTCTACAAAATTTCCAAAACATTCGTTTGCAACATTGTGATAAATTGTCACTTGATTTAGTCAATCAACTGGCATCGATTAATCCAATTCAGTCAGCTCTTCGCGCCATGTATAAATCAACCACCGCCGAGCTTCACAGCATCAAAAGAGATTGCACTGTCGATCGAAGTCGATTTTCTGCCCGATTAATCCGCTCTGTTATACCGTTTACCTATCACCGTAATATCTTGTTGGCCAGGTATCGTTAATCGCGGTGGAATCGCGGGCCAAATCGCCCTTTAACCGGCCGCCGCAGCGGAAACGGAAGCGGAGCGATTAGCGGGCGACGACGCGACGGTTTTATTGGTTTCGCCGAAAATTCAATTTCTCTATCGCGTTACAATCCGCTCGGCCGATTTAATTGGCGGCGGCTCGGCTGATCGAAAACGGCAAAACAACAACGAAGGGTGAAGCTCCCTCGCGATTTCCTCGATTGCGTAACAACCGCCCCCCCCCCCCACCCTTTCCCGTCCCTCTGCGCTCGTGTACGAGCGGGGAGACATCGCGGGGAAAAAAATCCGGGGTAAATCGTTGATTGGGATGATGCACGATTTGCACGGCGTAACGGAGTGAAAATAAAACCAGTGTTTCGCTCTGGGTAAAAGAAGCTGCGATTTTCAACAATTATTTTTGTTCTTTTCGTTCTTTTTCTTGGAAATGGAGAAGGAAGACGAGAAGTTCGCGAAAGTGTGATCGATTAAGGCTAGATAAAATATACGACGAAGAAAGAGTGAAGGAAGAGTTTGACGAACAATTTTTCAGTAGTCGGAATTTGTTGAGTATTATAGATTGCAGGGTCGAAATGATCTGAAGTACTGAATTTGTCTCTTTGTTGCTTGGCAGTAAGAAAAAAAAAAAATGGGGAAAGGGAGGAGGGAAATTACGCGTGAATACGAAATTGCGCGATAGAGAAGTTGAGATTGGAATTAAAAGTTTGTTTCCCGTGGTCATTTCCAGGAGTTTGATGAGGTGAGAAAATATGTACGCGTTAGTTTCGTAACATCGAATAAAATACACTGCGAACGAACTAGTGACGAATGATAGAATCGATATCACGGAAACGAGGCAAAAAAATCGAGTGAATTGAAACTGAATATCTTTTTCCTTTTTTACCTGGAATTTAATTTCTACGGAAACACGTGAATAATTCTGATTTCCCTAATTATTTTTTCGATAAATCATATTTCTATCTTTGTATCGTTTCATTTGTACAATTGGCCTGCAGAAAATATTAAAATTATTAAAATAAAAATAATTATATAATTAAAATTCTAAAAATATTATATTGTAGTATTTATATTATATTATATTTATATTATAGAATATTTCATATATTAAAAATATTCTACAATATATTTTAATATATTATATTTATATTATAGAATATTTATATATTTAATATTTAATATTACATATTAATATTTATATATTTAATATATTTATATAGAATATTTTTATTATATAGAATATATTTAATATATTATATTTATATTATAGAATATTTTAAAAATATTAAAATTATTATAATAACAATAAAATAAAAATTATTAAAGTGAAAATATTAGAAATATTAAATATTACTTTTATCATACGACTGTTCGTATTTCACAAATTAGACAGCTGTACGGCGAGAAGTTTGCGTAAACAATTTTGCTGGTATTTTTCATACGGTGAAAATTTTTCAGTGGGGCCGGTCCCCGGTAAATTCGACTGGCACTGGCTCGTCGAATGATATACGAGGTGGCTCTTACTTTCGCGATAATACCAGGCATAAAGGTACTAATTACTTGGCAACTAATTACTACGGGAAGTAACTTGTTTCGTAATACCGTATTGTTACATAAACAGACGATAGGTGGCGGGTTCAAAATTTCCTGGCCGTATGTTATTAACGCGTGCTAATTAATTACCTGCAGCGTTACACCGGCAGAGTCTTCCGAATATGAAGGTGAGACTCGCGCGTTTAATTAGATACTTAATGCGCGACATATATTTCCCTCCCTCGACTTTACTTTTATTCTCCCTCATTAACGGCTACGTCGCGACTCGTGACGTTTCTTCCGCCGGTTTCTCTTTTTTCTTCGCGCGAACGTCGGATATAAGTTCGTTAATTACGCGGATCAAAAGAAAGTGAGGAGAGAAAAGGGAAGCAAAGTTGGCAAAAGTTGTAAATAGACTGTGGACTTTTTGTGCGTTGGCAAAAAATTTTATAGCGGACGATCGCGCAGAATGTAAGAATAATTGTGTAAAACGAAGAAATTATCAAGGTAAAATATCAAGGTAACATAGTGTAATATAATTTTAGGTTCTGTGTAATATAATTTTGTGTAGGTTCTATCTGGTGGATCACATAAATACAAATATAGACGATATATTCTCTGTTATAAATTCAAATGTTAAAAATATGACGATCAATTATAGAGAGTAACATGATCAAAAATTTAAATTTATATAAAAATGCGCATTCTAGCTACGAGTGATAAACTCTATTCTATTTGATAATATAATAAAGATTCTATCGTAGACATACTTTTAATCAGAAAAAAGAGAGAAAAGAGAGAAATTCTTGTCTAATTAATTTGAATTACAATACTACGAAAGAGGAAGAATCTTGATTATCAATGTGGAAGTTTGAATATGGTACGTTGTAAGAATTTTTACAAACAAGAAGAATAGAAGACAAACTAGATAATACTAATAACTATGAAATAATTTCTTCAAATTTTCTTTCACATAGAAATTATTTAATTTCAATAATCAACTGTTGTACGCAACGGTTCGAGCACTTTTCCAACTTTCGAGTAAATTATACCTTGTATCAGTGTTACTCCATCTCTGATACAACTGTAGATGCAATAAACTACGTTTCACAATTATTATAAAATTTTGCAGGCTATCAAAGGCTTATTTAAAATTTTGAATGATTGCTACTGAGCAATCATTCTTCTATCGAACGACAGTAGAATCACCAGTAGAAATGAAGAAAAATTTTCATAAAGACAAAACACGCAAGAAAGAAAGGAAATTCGTCAAATAAGAAAGAAAGTGAAGAGTAGTGCAAATGTAATTGGAAAATCTCGTATGCTTACCACTGCCGGGTATGTACAGGTTCAGAAACAAGCAGTCCTCGCTCTGGTTGGCCAGGAACATGTACAAACGTTTCAGTTGTTGGTACCTGCCCAGAGGCATTTGCAGCAAAGCAGCTGTGTCATTGCTGATGTCCGGGAAGTGCTGGGGGCAAACAGCGCCGAAGGAATCCGCCAGTTTGATACCGTCCCAGGGGATCGGTGATATCGGTGGCCGAAAACGTAAATCTCCTACGGGAGGCGCCGCGTACGGAATGCCCCGGAACACTTCTACGGGATCCAAGTGCCTGCTGTTCAAATCCTATTTGACAGATGCACGACGATGTATTAAAAAAAGAACCGAAAGAAAGAAAAAAAAAAGAGAAAAAAGAAGGAAACGTCAAAGGAACAGAGGTCTCGTGTTTTTATCGCGATTGTAACAGAGTGTAGCATGTGGCTGGAAAGTCGATGGATATTAATACGTGAAATCCGTGCAAAACACAGTCGCGTGTTTCATTCCTTTGAGTCGAAATTTTTTATTGATTATCGGTGGTTACTTCGCAATTCTTTAAAGTTTCTTTTTTTCGTACGTATCACTGTACAACTAACGATGAAAAATTGTCGATACTTTAAATTTCTGTTATAATTTCATGAAATATATATATATATATATATATATAACAATCCACTTGGTCTCATTTGTAAAACGCAAAGCCCTTACTTTGACATTCAGAGATCTTTTCATTATTAAAATTCATTACGAAAAACAACAGACTAGAACGATATAATTGTACAACGTAATGCGTCATTTCGGTCTTGGTTTGTTATAATAAATTTACATTTGACACGCGTGTTGATATTAAATAGATAAAACAAATAAGTGACAAAATCCTACTTGTTCATTAACGCAAAAATTTTTAATTGTCGCAATCGTTCGAAGATTGAAACCGCTGGATTCCGAAGTATATTATTGAAAATTGTTTTAATGTTTCCAGGAAGTTTTATTGGAAGTGCAGTCTGGGAAATTGCCACAAAAATACATATTTTTCAAATTGACGGTGGTAAACTGGCTATCTACTGTGATTGTTATCCATTTTGATGTTATAGAAAGATGGTTTTACGCATTGGTGTATGGTCGTTTAACAAATCTCCCTCTCTCTCTTTCTCATCTCGTGTCACACGACAAAATGAAATTTTTTCATTCGAATCTCCGCGAAGATTGGTTTGATTTTTTTTTCTTTTTTTTTTTGTTCGAAATTATACGCAGGTTAAAAAATGATACGCGTTTTGTATCGAGCATAAAGGCTGTTTGACGAAAGGCAAACTCGTTTCATTAATAGTGCTCGTGCCATCCCGTGAGTACATATAATTTATTTTTCCCGCCTATCGCGCGCGAGTCCTTTTAATTCCAGGGTTTTAATGAAACTTTTGTGCGGGACACGTTTCGAATTTCAATGACGCGAGGAATTTATAGAAGTTTCCAGTAACCACGTTTAACATTACTGGCGAATTCAATATTGATGGGTTTCAATGAATCTCTTCGATTACAAGCGTGTTTCAGTAAACGTGTTTCGATGAAGCCTCAATAATTTATATATCGGAAGGAAACGAAATAAAATGACACGCGTGAAACAGAATGATCGTGCGATGATAAGTCGTCGATGCAGTCATTATCTTTTGTTGACTATATTTATTCATTGAAAACATGAATGTCTACGAAAGACTATATAATACTCTCATTATCAGAGGTGATGTACTAAATTTATATATAATTTCTAAAAATTTGCAAGGAAAGCTGATTTAACGTGATGGCAACGTTATCTTTTTAAAATTAATTTAAAAAAAATTGATTTAGACTATAGTTATACATTTTGTCACTTGTTGTTAACAGACATTTATGTTTTCAGTGAACGGGTGCAATCGACAGAGATACTGTAACGAAAACGATGGAATCACGGCAGTAGTACAACTCCGTCACTGGTCGGGCGTCGTCAGTACTGAAATCACGGTACGATTGTCATTCCGGACAAAAAGCCACCCGTTTATATATTTTTAAATGAATTTCGTCGACTATTTTCAGAACACGGCAAAGATAAACAAAAAACCCGGAACGTGCGTCCGAATGGTTTTTTTCGAACTTTAAAATCGACGCAGCGAACGTTCGAACCTCGGGTTGCCCCAGAATCAGAGACCCGAAAGCAACAAACCGAGATAAAAGCCGGAAAAAGGGCGAGAGAGAGAGAGAGGGAGATGAAAAATAAAACACAGAGAACAGAGTGGCAAAGGTAAAAAAGAATAAACAGAGAGAGAGAGAGAGAGAGAGAGAGAGAGAGAGAGAGAGAGAGAGAGAGAGAGAGAGAGAGAGAGAGAGATGATAATTGCGCGGGTGTACGGATGGGAATCAATTGCGAGACGACGAGGAAAATCAACGACCCCGCGGGAATAAATAACGCGTCAACAACCGTTGCTTCATAGACGTTTTCACGAACGTAGCGAACGTAACGACACCAGGTGAAGGTCGTTAATTTTTTACAGACTCGAAAACACCGACGCGAACGAGGTCGAACCGAACGGTCGCAAACGCCTCTTTTTTTTCTTTTTTTTTATTTAAATATTCCCTCCGTCCTTCGTCGATTTTTTTTTCCCCGCGATCGGGCGGTCTCTCTTTCCATCGTGATTGTTATCTTCTTTTTTTTTTCTCTCGCCGTATTATTCTTTCTCCTTTTATTTCTGTTTCTGTTTCAACTAAAAATGGCCGCGAATCGAATTTAATTGGGGCTCGTGAGTTTGAAATTAACGCGAAGTCGTAAATTCCTGAACGCTGTTTTACGCTTACCGGTACAGTTTTCGTTCGTCGAGGTCTCTCGCTGTTCCACCGGTGCTATTGAAAAACATTATTTTTGGATGGCTCGGTGTGTGGAATCTTTTGCACGCAAATATTTTCACGATCGGGGAAAACAAACGAAAGAACGGTAAAGAAAGGAGAGAATCGGAGAATGAATAATGGAGAAGGATAAAAAGGGAAGCGAAAGCTGATCAGGGGAGAATAAAGGAGAAGCATTTCTGGCTTAACGTGATTTGTAAACTTGGTGTGAAATTGGCACGATGATAAATAATCAATGTTCGTGCATTTAACTTCATTCGAAAGACAAAAACCATGTTTGAAAAACTTGTCAAGTTTGAATATAACTAATTCCGGCGTGGACAGGCGAAAAAAGTGAAAAAAACGTGGAACGAAATTTTTACATGAAACTTCGCCGTTGCCGGAAAATTTAATTTGAAAATTTATCAAGTACACGCGTACCATGTCAATTTTTGATCAAACGTTTAAACTTCATTTTCTTGGAAACGAAACTTTAAACGGAGAGATTTCAGAATAACCTCCCTTCCGTCCAATCCAGAATTAGCTAAATTCAATTGTGCTTGACAAAATTCTTTTGAAAAATTTTATCTCTTCTTTTCGACTTATTTTTGCACGTAGTATTCACTCACAGTCACAATTTCAAAAATATCCTCTGTAATTATTAATATTAATTGTATCATTAATTCTAATACCGACGTCTGACCGATGACAGGGTTACACTACTGGCAGAATTTTATTCCCCTCTTCTGACACGCGCACGTTTAATTTTGTTCCTTCGTTATATATACTATATATTCTCATACTACACTATACTATTATGTTTGTAATGATCTTTTATCGCTCGTAATATTATATAATATCATTCACTGCGTTCCTATATTTATTGCAACGTGTCAGAGTGATGCGAGAAATAAGCTTCAAGATCAATACAAATCAACGCGTATGACGTATATTTTCGTTATTATCAACACCAGAAACCTCCCCCCTGATACCGCTGTCCATCGTTATAAATTCCATTCAATAACGTTCAAGATTGAAGACGCCATAATTATAGAGAGCTCGAGGATGGAAACGAGGCCGAGGGGCAAGAATTTTTCCTTTCTTTCTTTCTTTCTTCCTTTATTTTTTCGCGTCTTCCCAACCGTCGTTGGCTTGCTCTCTTTATCATTCGCCGGGTAACATCGCCAGTCCTCCCCCGTTAATGGGAATTCGTGATTTTGAACTCGATGCAGCTCCATCGTCGTTCTCAATGGGGATGGAAAAGAAGAGGAGAAAGTTCAGCTCTCAGGTCAACCAACCGGAGGTGCAATTAACGTCGACGCGCACCAAACGAGATTTATTAGCCCTTCTGGTATAATTGCTTCCAAGAATGTCAATGTTTTCTCCATCCCTTTTCTCTTCCTCTTTTTTCTTCTCTCTCTCTCTCTCTCTCTCTCTTTCTCTTCCTCTGCGCAATTACGTCTAACGAAAGCAATTATCGAGTTTCGTTAACGTCCACGCGCAAACGCCTCGCGAGTTTATACCGTCCTTTGAAGCGATTGATTGGAAAATAAAAAATGTTTGCAGGTTGGCTGATTGATAGGTTCTACGATAGGTGCGCATAGATATGTAAAAACATAAAAAATAATTATCAAAGAAAATTGTTGTGATTATATTGTCGTGTGTGTCGCACGAACGATTTTGAAATTTTGTTTGCACTTGCTTGTTCGAATTTGATTGGATTGCGAAAATTGTTGGAAAATTTTTGTGTTGGAAAATTTTTGAGTGGAAAATTCACGATCGAACAGACATGAGACAAACACTGGACAGAACGCGCATGAAACAGTTCTTTACAGAGGTTCGATTATATTTTCAAAAATATGAACACGAATTCTCTTGGGATATTGACAAGCCCAATCCTTCGTAGAAACATCAATTTGTGCAAATATTCGCGCGACTATCAACTCTGTGTCATTATAAAGCACCGCGAGGAAAGCAGTAAATTCAGTTTTGACTTTTACTATAAAATAAACAAATTTCTTCACTGACATTCCAGACAGACCATCAAAATTCGAAGTCACGTTCAACGAGTGAAAAATCACTACTTACTCGATCTTACTTTCTTTTTTTTCAAATTTTTCTTCTCTTTGAAAACAAGAAGATTCTTGAAAAACAAGGGACATGGATCGATTGTTTGTATCGTGGCGTCTGCGGGTTGTCGGAAATCCAACAGACCTCCTCATAAAGCAGAGATAATCGAAACGCCGAGGGTAATTAGGTAATTAGTTTCCTGTAACAGGAACACCACGTTTATATACATAAAATACAGGATTTACATCTAACTCAGTGTACCAGGCTAGAGATATTACCGTACAGAGGGGAGGAGAGATTTCGCTATCGAATCAGCGCACACCGAATTCAAGTAACGAGGCACTTTTGCGGTTATTAGTGTTCGTCGAAATATTGAAATTCATGAACCT